ACATCTGAAATTGATAGACTTTAGAAAGAAGGGAGGAATACCATGGTTGTGGGGTGAACAATTTGAAAAGTTTTATAGTGTGTAATTGTCAGATCAAGTTTATAAATAAGAGGAAGTGTTAAATAAACTATACGCGTCAAGTTAAGAAAAATTTGATTAACTTAATTCCTATATTTTACAATGTGGTTGGCTGTATGAGGATTAGGGAACTGTTTTTGGTATTGAACAATAATTTTAACAATTTAAAGATTTTTCTCAAAATTTAAAAAAGTAAGTGTAGAAAAATCAGCTTAAGCTCTCTACTTTCCTTCACTTGACGCGTATAGTTTTTTGAACATTCCCTGCTCGGAATCATACATCTAGATGACTCTTCCTAGAATACTTTCCTCGTCTACATGTGTATTCTCAAAAACAGTACTTATATATTCTACAGAGTAGCGCTCAAATTTAATATGACCATATCTTGGAGGAAGGTGCTCATACCAATATAAAAAACCATCCACGAAATACTCTGCATTTCTTACAAAATTCTCCAAATTAGAATCATCAGGAAAATATGATTTCAACTTTGACCCAACTTTTTCAATGTTAATTATTAGGTTATTCACTTTCTTCTCTGTTTTATAAATTGATTTTTGAAGAGAATATTTTCTACACTTAACAAGTACAAAATTTTCTTTTTCACTATCAATTACCTCTTTTTTCAAAGAAAGAACATCATTAGATAATGCCACATGCATAGTAACCATATTGCGATATCTTTGGAAAAGAGGATGATCTCTTACTTCTGAAGACAGAGTAATACCTTTAATTAAGCTAACCGCTTCTAGAAGAGGAGAAACTCCTGCATTAAAAGAACGTATATACAAGTATTCATCTTTCTCATAAGAAATATTATTACTATTATTTTCTTGCACCCACTTATTAGATCTCACATAATTAACAAGATCCTTTATAAAATAAGAAGTATTTTTTTTGCTTATGATATTCCTGCAAATCTCTGACAGGAGTATACAAGAAGTTTTAAATGTACGGTCTAATGTAGAAGCCTCCTTTTCTGTAATATCTTTATCACCTTTCTCGCTCACTATTGAAATAAGTGCTTTTACTGTCCTCTGTATTGTTTCTTGACATATAGCTGGATCACCTTTATTCAGGTGTGTAAACTTACCTATAGCATCATCATAAAGAAATTCAAAAAAGGTAGAAAGAAAAAGCAACTTCAAATCTTTAGAGTCGACATTTGGACTAAGATGAGCAATCGAATTTGGAATATCAGTTTTATATATATCTATGTAAGTTTCTTCTAGTCCTAACTCTCTAACCCAATTATTAATACACTCTACTACTTGTTTTACATTTACTTGTGGAAACTTTCCATAGCGATTTATAAATAAAAAACTACCCTGTACTTTAGCTTCTCCATATTTTTTACTTTTTAACACTCCAGCATCAAACTTCAGTGCCATCTTTTTTCCTAAATCCCTTTGAGAATCCAGCTGACTACCTAATTCATAATACTTCATAAACTTTACCTATACTGATCAAAAAATAAAATGTCCCTTTCACCTGAAATACCCACATATACTTAGAGCTTATCTCATTTGACACCAGTTACAATACTAAAATAACCAAACGTTGGTATTACTTGAATATCTTTAAATCCAACTTTCTGCATCATTTTAGATAATTCTTTCCCTGAATATTGTTTACCTTCGGCCCAACCTAACATTAACATACTACAGCCTACTGCTGAAAATGGTCCATTTTTTTTATCATTATAAAGTAATTCATGAACAATAATGCGCCCTCCTTGTTCTAAACTTTTGAAGCTTTTCTCGGTAAGAAATAAGCATTTCTCTGGTGTCCAGTCATGGTAGATATTGGAGTAAAAATGCAAATCTGCTGAAGGGAAAGCATCATTCCACATATCACCTGCATAGGTATTAATGCGTTCGTGTAAAGCATACTTATCTATAAATTCTTGAGCAATAGTACAAACTGGGGCTAAATCAAATATTGTAGCTTGAAGCTTTGACCATTTTGAAACTGCACCGATACTATGTGCTCCAGATCCTCCTCCTACATCAAGCAGCAAACGATATTTTGATAGGTTTATAAATTTTGGCCAAGCCTGTGCTGATCCCATACTAACACTATGCATTGCTCTAGTAAATTTTAGTGCTGATTCATTGTTTTCTTCATGTGACTTAAATACATCACCTCCACCATAAGCCTGAGCTGTATCAGTGCATATTGCTTTTTCCAGGCTTGCAAATGAATAAACTTCATGATTATCAATTATAATATCCCAATAATATCCAAAGTAATTTGGGCTATTTTCAAGAAGATACTCTTCAGCTACTGGCATCAGCAAATATTTCCCGTCCTTTATCCTTAGAAAGCCTAAGTTAACTGCAGCTACCAACAACGCTTCTGCAGGACGAGACTTAATATCCAATATACTACAAATTTCCTCCAATGTATGTGGTTTTTTTGCTAAAATAGCAAATAACTTCATCCTATGTGCAATTAATAAGGCAGAATAGCCATAAATTCCTAGAAATACATCCCATAACTGACAATCATCAACTCTAGGTTCACATAAAGAAATATTATCAAGCTTATCAGTAGTTTCCATAAATTCCCTCCATTTTATTTAAATAAACAAACTATTAAGTACATTAATATAATAATACAACATATATTTAAGTTTTATTAAGTGGTTCAAAGCGGGCTTGAAAAAACCGTAAAAAGGTTGGTTCATAAACCATACGTAACCCGCAAATATCATCTCTCCTGTTATAGACAGCAGCAACTGCATCAGCTACTACATCCATATGTGATCGAGTATAAACACGACGTGGAATAGTTAAACGTACTAATTCAAGTTCTGGACATCTATTTTGCTTAGTCATTGGATCACGTCCTGCAGAAACATTACCACGCTCCATAGTACGCACACCTGCTTCTATATAAATCTCCGCTGCCAATGCTTGTGCTGGGTAACTATCTTGATCAATATGTGCTAAAAAACGCTTTACATCAATGTAAACAGCATGAGAGCCTATTGGTTCTATAAGAGGAATACCGTATAACTGAAGTCTTTTAGCAAGATAACGTACTTGGGCAATCCTTGCTTTTTGATGATTCTCGTCTACAGATTCACGAATTCCTTGAGCCATTGCCTCTAGATCTCGACCAGCAAGCCCACCGTACGTATGGAGACCTTCATAAATCACACTCAAATTCTGGGCTTTATGATAGATCTCAACATCATTGCAAGCGAAGAACCCTCCTATATTTACAAGAGCATCTTTTTTTGCAGATATTGTACAACCATCAGTAAGGTCACAAATTTTTCTTAGTATTTCTTTAACTGATTTATTACTGTAACCAGGCTCTCTTTCCTTGATAAAGTAAGCATTCTCTACGGTGCGCGATGCATCAAGCATAATCAAAATGTGATGCTTACGACAATACGCGTGGAGTTCTTCAAGGTTAGATATAGAAAAAGGTTGCCCTCCAGCCATATTTACGTTCCCTTCTAAACTAATATAAGGAATTTTTTCAGCACCAACTTCCCGTACAAGCTTATCGAGCTTGTTGATATCAACATTACCTTTAAATGGATGATTTGACTTAGGATCATGAGCTTCATTAATAATGAAATTACATCAATAAATTTTCCACCTGCCAATTCTTGGTGAAGGCGAGTTGTAGTAAAGTACATGTTTCCTGGCACATAATCTCCTTTTTTAATAAGTGAGATAGACATAATATGCTCAGCGCCACGTCCTTGATGAGTAGGAACAAAATACTTGTATCCATAATATTCATTAATCACATTATATAAATTGTAATAACTTTTGCTACCTGCATAAGATTCATCACCTCTCATTAAGGCAGACCATTGAACATCACTCATAGCAGAAGTGCCTGAATCTGTTAACAGATCAATATACACATCATGACTACGCAAAAGAAAGGTATTATATCCAGCATCAAATATAGCTTTCTTCCTTTCTTCTCTAGTTGTAGTATGAAGAAGCTCGACCATTTTTATTTTATATGGTTCTGCTTGAATTTCATCTTTATTTTTTTTTCTGCTATCATAAAATACTCCTTGTTTTGTTTAAAATTTGTTGATTAATTTACTTTCTGAATAAGCTATAAATAAAGTAGATAGTATTAATATTAACCCATCAAAATTGTACTTTTTTCAGGTAACTTCCCCAAGACCAAATAAGCTGCAACAGAAGAAAACAATAATCCCAAATATCTGTAAGGTGCAACTATAGTAGCATTAACTAGAGCAAAGGTTCTGAGAACAAAAATAAGATCAAATCTGCACCTATACCTAAATTTACATAACAATGGCATTATCTACTCCATTCCCAAGAGGACATGCTTGTACTTTCTATCTATTGGCTTCTTTTAAGAACTTAGGTTATCTTGTCAACTGTTTTCAGGCAATGCCTAAATTTCTCTACTTCCCCTGCAAATGTCTCATTATCAAGAAAACTTAATATAGAACCCCATTAACCAAACTAAATACATCTTAATTATTATGAGATTACAAGTCAATACCTTTTTGGTATTTTATTTACTTGACTATTTGTTAAAACCACCAAAAAATAAGTAATTTGATATTACCACCTATGCATAAAACCGCTCTAACTGTTCATCACAAAGCAAGCTCATTTTTTTGGAGTGTTAAATAAGCCATACGCGTCAAGTTAAGGGCAAACTCAGGAAAACTAAGGTAACTGATCTTACCAAGAAAAACCTACTCTTTAGCGTTACAAAAAATTTAAATGTTTACTTATTGGTGTTCTTAAAAAAGGGCAAAAAGGCTCTATACGGTTGAGAACAGAGCTCCAAAGTTAGCGTATTATGTAAAAATTTAGATATTTTACGGAAAATAACAAAAGGCAAAGGGCAACAGGTATAGAAGGGAAAAGAGGGCTATTATTGGGGGTTTTACGATTACACTAAATCTGATATAGATGAGTTCGAAAGACAGTGTGGTGGACCAAGCGATACTAAAAAAACTTTTTCTCTGTTTCATCGTGTTACTTGGGTAAAATGGCTGTATTGGCAGGTATTGATATTAACATAAAATGAACAACACCGCACCTTATAGAGAAATAGAGAGAAACTTTTAATTATAATATGTCGGTAAAGTAAGTCAATGAGTAATTTTTTACTACTACTGAATTTTTTCTTTGAAAATAAAAAAAAAGAAGAACTTAAATCACAAACAGCATAAATCAGATATCTTTCATCCACCAATTACTTTACCTACCACCTTTACCTTTGCTAGGACCAGAAACACTACTAGCTTCAGCACCTTCCAAGGTGGACTGTGGGTTACCAGAATCACTAAGCAATATAGGTGCTCTTACTAGTCCATACCCTCCTCCCGTTCTGTGATATCCTAATTCTAAATACCTTTGTAGTAACGGATCAATTTGATCTCTATTTTGAATGTATGCATCCAATTGAATACTTTGATCTTGCTGATCATCTCTTAATAACTGCGAAATATCTCTTCTCAAATTTTGAAAGTACTGTTCATTTCTAGGATTGTTTGGATCAACTTGATTATTCAGACCTGGAACATTCAACGTTAGAGAATGACGTATCTCACCCAAAACACCTCGACTTTGTTCTCTGAGATTATTATTTCTTTGTAAGACTGTATTAGTATCTCTAGCATTTTCTAATGCCCACAAGCCACAATTATGACCATCTGTTTGCTGACGAACAGAAACATTTTCGATCCTAATATTATTCCCTAAGGTGTTTTGAATGATGGGTATAATGTTATCTGAAATAGCAACACCAGATGAATTTGCATAGTACCCAACATAATTCTCATTTTGACGTTCAATAACTAGTGCAACCCAATGAGTATTATTTAAAGTAATAATTAAAGTTAAACGCTGCTGTGTTGCATTTCCCATAAATTGACCTAATACATCAGCCATTTGTTGGTTATTTCTTGCTAAATTGACTACTTCAAAAGCGTGATTATCATCTGTATGAAGCTGATATTGTAATCTTCCAGCACGAGATATATCAATCTCCTGAAGCCAGTAATCATAAGCTTGATATTGTGTTGCAAATTCTAATGTAAGTAGGTCACTTACTTCTGGTATTTGATTACCATCTCCAAGAATATTGTTTATTTGTCGTAATATTCCCTGTACCGTAGGAGAAGAATGTGCAGTTCCACTTGACCTTAGTGTTTTTATGATCCGTTCTTTATTACCTTCAAGATAACGAACTGCAACCCATCGATTATTACCTAGATCAAATAATGGAATAGAACCAGATCTTTGATTGCTTTGAAAATAATCTATTAATCTTTCACGAGTTATATCTGATAATAGTCCTGCTGGCGGATTTTCATCAATAATACTGCCAGGTTCTACTAATCTTCCCGATTCTAGTGTATAACGACCACGGGTAAGTTCACGTACGTATAGCCTGTCTGGAAGAAGTATAAGGTCTTCTGCTCTCCGTGCATCTCTGTTAAATATAGCATAAGATAAAACCACCTCATTTCCACGGGTAATATGCATATATCCCCTTCGCCTGTCCATAAGTTCTGTTATTTGCTGTTCTGCTTCATTTCGCTTTTGTTCTACTTCTTCTATATCATTAGCAAATTTCCATACATATCCAATCGGGTGAGTATCTGCTGTAGGTTGTCTCAATAATAAAAGATCTAATCTTTGTTCTGTAGTTTCTTGAAGTTCTTCCCTTCTATTAAACTCTCGTATTTCACCAACTTTGTACCTGGCAATCACTTTATCAAGATTGTCACTAGCATAAAATATACCATACAACATAGAATGAGACTTGTCTTCGCTATTTACATCTATTATCATATCTTCTGGCATTAATACTCTGGAAATAGCTCTAAATAATTCTCCATGCTGATCTCTATTTTGCCAGCCATCACTTATAACTTGATTTAAAGTATTATGTACATTTTCAGCATTAGGCACTTGTACAAGATCACCATCAAGAAAATTATTTGCATTATTATTTTGATAATCGTGATATAAACCAAGGTCATTTGCTGGATCAATATCTAGTTCAAGTTGATTATTAAATGTGCATGAAACTTCCCATACATGAACATTATTCCTATCAGCATTAAGAGTTTGTAAATTGATGGCTCCTTGTTGTTGCATACCGTGATCTCCAATATGAAGTATAACTACATTAGAACCTTGAGCATGAAAGACCATAGTAAAAACATGTCTTCTTAAATCTTCATCATCATATCTAAATATATACTTTCTTATACGTACTTGATCTCCTCCCTCTTCTAACTCTAAATACTCTCTTATAAAAGCACTATTCCCAAAAACAAAACCAGTTATATAATCAAATACTCTATTATAATTCTCTATATTTCTTGGTATTTCACCAGGAAGATGTTGAAGCAAGACATTTCCAATATCTTCTCTAACTGCATCATCCTCTAAACACTCAAATAATCTTTGTACTAAAGGAAATCTATCCTGTTGAAGCTCTGCTATATCAATACTAAAAGGAATTCGATTTAAATTAAAATTTAATCCAACACAAACAACATGTCTTGATTCAGTATGGATAGGTATA